TATATCGGTTTAATTACGAAAGAATGCTTGAGACCAACTGCGATCAGGTCTTAAGTTATACGCTGAAATCTCTAGCTACTAAAGCAATTTTGACTTAATATATGGTAATTATATCAATTTATAATTATAAATTTAATAAAATATTATCAATTTGTCAATAAATTAACCTGTAAAGGCTCAAATAACTAAATTATAAGATAGAAATCCCGTATTTTTCCGTCGTTGTTTGCGCTGGAAGCTCTGCAAAAACTCTTCATTTAAATGTTATTAATTGCATTTATCTCCTTAATTATAATTAAAATTTGAAATTAAACCTTTCCTTTCTTCGTTAGCTTAAATTAAACTTGCCTAAATTATATAATAATTAAAATAAATGAAGTATAAAAAGGCCAGAGTTTATTTAGCAAACTTTAGTTAGATAAGAATGAATTTTCCCTAAATTTAACGCTAAAATTAGTGCTTAAATCTAGTTTTAGGTAGTGTCATCAATTGTATAACACATAGAATTAGCATTTTAGACTTAAATTTTTACTTAAAAGTAGCATTAATGGATGCGTTATAAGCGGATGCAAAGTAGCAAGTATCTATAGCTTTAGTTGGATTTAATGTATAAAGCCTTAGTTTTCTATAAAATTAATGCTTGAAACTAATCAAAACTATGGTTATAGTGTAGATAGGACCTAGATTTAACGTTTTCAACTGGAATTTTAATCATAAACATCACTAATATCTGAGCAACTAGCAAAGATCTGTAGGTATCCTTAAAGTTTGATAGGATTTAGCTAATTAAATCTTTAGTTTTCTCTAAAATTTATGCACGAAACTAGGTTTAAATATTATTAAAACGTACCTACGACCTATAACTAGTGTTTTACACATAAATTTTATATAAAAAAAATACATTAAAATCTTTAAAACAAGTGATAAATTATTACACTTAGTTATGTAACTTGATAGGATTTGGTTAACTTAATTTTAATTTTTTTCTATAATTATTATTTTAAACTAAGTCTAGATACTTAATAAATGTAGAAATGATATGTAATTATTATTTTAAACTTAAATTTTCTTTATAAATAGCAATAATATTTGCATAACAAGCAGAGAAATAGTGGCTTCTATCCTTAGACTTTGTTGACTAGTTTTTAGGATTTAGTGTACTAAATCTGTGTTTTACTCTAAAATTAATGCTTGAAACTAAGTTTTAACATTATTATAGTATTTAAATGACCTAAAATTAGTATTTTAAACTGAAATTTTCCTTATAAAAAGCCTTAAAAGCCGTAAAAACAAGCAGGCAAAGAGTAGTTTCTATCCACTGACTTGATTGAATTTAATGAATTAAGCCTTAGTTTTTTGTGAAATTTGCGCTTGAAACTAACTTTAAATATTATCTAATTGTAGCTAAGAACTAAACACAGTATTTTAGACATAAATTTTCTACATAAACAGCCTTAAAATCTGCAAAACAAGCAAACAAAGAGTAGCTTCTATCATTAGATTTAATGAACTAAAGCTTAGTTTTCTTCTGAAATTATTGTTTGAAACTAAGTTTCAACATCATCTACATGTAACTAGGATCTGTATTTTGTATTTTAGACATAAATTTTTCCTCTAAACAGCCTTAAATCTAGGAAACAAGAAGGCAAAGGTTGGAGTGTATTCAAGCATTTCACCAGGCTAAACTTTGAATGAATGTTTTCTGTATTTTTGTTTAGAAAAGGCAAAAATAACTCAATTTTCTACTTACATTTTAGTCAAATTATCATCCTTTGTAAGAAATATATGAAAAAGTTTCGCCATTAAGATGTATACGATCGATATAATTCCCTTTATGACCAATCACTACAATTGACAGTCGTTAGTGTGACGTGTAAGGAAAGAACCCGCCTCTCGACAATACTTTTAGGGATAATTGCCATGCATTGTGGGATAGACTAAGCAGCAATGACAATAAACTAACTTTCTAACTACGAATTATTGATCGGGTCCACGTTATTTTATGAATATTCCGTGCAATTTTCAGGTAAATATTACGTGTTTTTTCTCTTCCTAACGTTGTAAAGTAGCTAAAAGTCTCTAAAAAGTTCAATTTTATTCAATATATTAAGGGATATTTCCCTGAAGTGTTGATAAAAGCGTGTTAAGGACGGGCCTTGAAATAGGGGAGTAAAATGTAAACTAGCCAAAATACGTCCAAAATATGTTAATTTTTATAAATTTTAATCGAATTTACATCTAAAAATCTAGCTTTTTTATGTGTATTTTAAGGTAGGAGGTAGTTTTAGGCCAACATTTTCATAGCATCCCATTTACTTGGCTCCAACTTTCAGCTCGTTGTACACACCTTTAAATCCAATTTTATTACCTAAATTATGTCAAAAGTATCATAAATATACTCTAAAACATTCTATAATTTAAAATATTATAAAAATTTAAGTAATTTTATTTAAATTTTGTATTTTTTAAGTCAATTTTCTTGATGTTCTTGCTCTTGATTTCCACGTTTTCATCCTGTAAACGAAAAAAAGGAATGTTTTTAGAGCTTTATTATATAAATTATTATACAGAAAATTAGTTTAATTTGTGCTTTTAAGGATTATAATTCAGTTTTTTACAAAATAAAGTTTAAAAAATTAACTAAAATTGCCATTTAGGTAGGATTTTAAGGCAAAAATTCATGCCCTAAATCGCTTAAAGTACACAATCTCTTATCATTTATTGCTTGAATTATCTGTAAAAGACTTAATTAAATTATATTTTAGGAATTTTACTTAAATTTTTTAGTTATTTTCTTAAAAATTAAGTTAAAAAACACAAGAATTATTTCGTTATTGTTTAAGATAGAGTTGACGGAAGTAGGTCAAGTTTTGTATTGTTTTTTATACGAATATAGGGAAATTTCCCTATTTTTTAAATTACCTACACCTACATACATTTAAAATAAGGGAATTTCCCTGTTTTAAAATGTATTTAGGAGCATTCTGTTCCATTTAAACTTTATAATAATTAAATTTTAAGTGAAACATTTTCACACAGATTTGTGTGTGTTTTATTTAATACTCTGACCCCTTTTTACAAAAATCCTTTAAAATATTTACTTAAAATGCATTAAATTTTATAAATCTTTTATGTTTTAAGGATTAATTATCATTTTCTTTGTTACTGAATAACCTTATGACTTTAGATCTAGTGTTTAGAGGGCTGAAAAAACAACGAAAAATTGAGATAAATTACTAAGTTTTACTCGAAATTTTACGTAATAAACCCTTAAAATTACTATCTAAAACTGAAAATCAGTAATTTTATACGATTTTTATGGTAAATTTCTTTATTAGATCGTAATTTATGAGGAGTTTCACCCTGTTTGTTCTGTTGGTGATGCTTCGGAACTTGATCAAAAAATGGCAAAAATTAGGCTTATATTTTAAATTTTATTCAAAATTTAACGTTTTAAGCCTTTTAATTACTCTATAGAAACTAGAAAATAGAAATTTTATATAATTTATACATAGAAATTTATAATAAAATTGTAATTATGTTAGGTGTTCTATAGAAGTTGTACTGTTAAAACGTGTGATTCCAGCAATTTAAATGATATTTTTTTTAATCATTTCCTCGTTTTTTCGCACCCCTGAATAAAATTATATGTTGTAACTTGCTTTAAATTTAATTAATTATATATTGTAAGCCTTATTTATAAGGCACAGGTTACAGAATCCTTATAAAATGATAAAAGTTTCAAGATTTTCAGCTTTAAACTTAATTGGTCTTGTGTGTTCTTTCCTATTCCCCCCTCTAACAGTCATATCTTACTATGAAGGCGATTTCTCCTTCAAAAAACCTGAATTTAGCCTTGAATTTTCCAAAAAGTATGATCATATCTCACTATCTGAGCAATTTTCTATTACAAGAAACCTCAGTTTAGCCTTGAATTTTCCAAAAAACTAGTAAAAACACTTGAAAATATATGTTATAATATCAAAAAACAGGATCATCTCATACTATCAGGGCCATTTTAGCCTTCAAAAAACTCAATTTAGCCTTGAATTTTTCAAAAAACTAGTAAAAACACCTGAAAATATATGTTATAATATCAAAAAACAGGATAATCTCATACTATCAGGGCCATTTTAGCCTTCAAAATACTCAATTTAGCCTTGAATTTTCCAAAAAACTAGTAAAAACACCTGAAAATATATGTTATAATATCAAAAAACATGATCATCTCATACTATCAGGGCCATTTTAGCCTTCAAAATACTCAATTTAGCCTTGAATTTTTCAAAAAACTAGTAAAAACACCTGAAAATATATGTTATAATATCAAAAAACAGGATCATCTCATACTATCAGGGCCATTTTAGCCTTCAAAATACTCAATTTAGCCTTGAATTTTCCAAAAAACTAGTAAAAACACCTGAAAATATGTTATAATATCAAAAAACAGGATCATTTCATACTATCAGGGCCATTTTAGCCTTCAGAATACTCAATTTAGCCTTGAATTTTCCAAAAAACTAGTAAAAACACCTGAAAATATATGTTATAATATCAAAAAACAGGGTCATCTCATACTATCAGGGCCATTTTAGCCTTCAAAACACTTAAATTTCGCTTTGAATTTTTCAAATATTTGTTAAAATATCGAAATTTACTTTAGAACCAGCAGATTTTCATTATTCCATACGAATTTACGACCTCGTATACCTCATTTTCTCCCTTTTTTTTATATATATATCATAAAGCCGAGTACAAGGGTGCGGGTTATAAACGGAGACGAGAGAAAAAATCTCATCTTCATCATCAATTCTACAATTTTTGTATAGAAAATTATTAGATAAAAGGGCATAAATAAATTAGTCAAAGAGAGTATTATATAACCCTTAATGGAATTTTTGTGGAAGCAATAAAAGGGTGGGGGGAGGAGGAGGAAGGTTAGACCAGTGTTTCTCTCACGATATCGATCCTCGCTCCGTGAAGAGGAGGGGGGACAGCGAATAGGAAGAAGGGGGGAACGACATTATTCATGCAGTTTCCATTTTCTTGACATCTATACATTCTATTTTCTTGGTCCATCTTGTTCTCCTCCCATCGCCTCCCTCCAATTTTGAGGCCACCAAGAATTATTTCTCTAGGGAACCTAGCCAATCTGTTTTATGGTCCCTACGAGCATGCGTACCACTGTCCTATTTAGTGTCTTCATCCCCTGAGATGATACTTTTCCTGCAAGTGCTCCCTCCCTTTTTTTCCATCTCGATAAGGCCACGTACACAGGTGTAATTTCGGGACGTTTTTTTCGTATTTTCGGAGACCCGCCTAATGCGAATACGAGTGGGGGAACATCTAAAACGAAAAAAAATCTAATAAAGGGTCGTATATATTATTAGGGACCACCGATCTTCGCGAATTCTCGTCGGTGCCAGCCTTTAAACGTAGTGGAATTGTTAGGTTGAAGGTGGATCAGTTGGAGGTTTTCTTGGGTATTTTAAGAGGTTTTTTTGGAGATTCCCCCACTCTGTATGGTTTAAAAATACTAGAAAATTGCCTAAAATAAGAGTTTTTTTGAATTTAATTACTGGTCTTTTTAGTGGCATCATTTATCAAACTGATACTTTTCCTGGAAGTGTCCTATCTTCTATGTTGATGAGACTACTTGCAGGTGTAATATTAGACGTTTTTTTTGGCTTTTTTGGACCCCCCTAATAGACTAGGAATAGAGGAACATCTAAGAAAATTAAATAAAGGGTAGTATATATTATTAGGAACCATCAATCTTTACCAAATTCTTTGATAAGATGGACTTAGACGTAGTGGAATTGGTATGTTTCAGGAGGATCAGCTAGAGGTTTTCTTGGATATTTTAAGAGGTTTTTTTGAGATTCCCCTTCTTCCTATGGGTTAAAAATACTAGAAAATTCTCTAAAATAAATTTTTTGGAATTGAATTACTGGTCTATTTAGTGTTTTTCTCCCTCAAATATCAGTTTTCCTGGAAGTGTCCCCTCTTCTATCTCGATAAGGCCACTTGCGGGTGTCCTTTTGGTTGTTTTGGTCCCTCTAATGCGACTAGGAATAGGAGAACATGTAAAAAAAGTCAAATAAAGTGTAGTATATATTATTAGGATCCACTAATCTTTATCTATTCTTATTAGGGAGGGCCTTTTTGTATAGAGGAATTTGTAAGATAAAGCTTCATTGAATCTCCAAACTTTTCAATAGGCCTCAACTGTAATAGGCATACATTAGATAAATCAGGCACCTTTTTTCCTAAGCTTTTAATGCCTATATCTAGGATTTTTTTTCTTTATTTTTATTAGGTATTTTAAATAGGCCCCATATCAGATTACCCTGTAATACTAAGCATTTGCTTGAGATTCCAGCGCTTAAGAGGCTCTGAACCTAGGGCCTATATCAAATTCTATTTATAAAAGTACACTTAAGAGGCCTCAAATGGGTAGTTGGAACCTCCATTACGTTGAGCTGAACACAGAAATTGAATGCGATTTTATAAGAGGGAAGAAAACTTAGAAGACCTCTAGCAAAACGTTTAAGGCCTAATAGGGCCTTATTAAGAAAATATTAAAATTATATGCGAAATAAGCCTAAATTTTTACAAGAATTTGCAATTTATTAAGAATTAATTAATCAACTAGGCTCTATTTTAGAAATAATATAGTTTAAAACGCTTATTTGGGCCCACTAAATCCTATTGTATAAAACACAGAGCTTAAAACTATTATAATATAACCCCAAATAACAGAACCTACTAGACTAGGGCCCTACACCTTTCATTGTAGAGTAACTACTGCATTTAATTCTACAAACTAAGCCCTATTGAAGGCATTAGAACTAATGTATTTCTCTTAGGGCCTGGTGTTCTTGTAAAGCCTGTTGGATTCTTCAGAATGTAGTAGGCCCTAGCAGAAAAACAGCAGGTATTACAATTACTTTAAAAGTACCAGTTAGGGCCTACACCTGTTAGGAATAAGATGTCATTTCAAGCCACTAAATAATAACAAACTATAAACTGTGAAGCCTTAAACTATATCCACGAAAACTGAATTTTATTGAGCTAATACATAAATATGGCCCTACCCATAGCTTAAACGCAGTTTAAACTTCTAAAAAGTGTAGTTTATAGCCTAAATTTATAGCTTAGAAATACAGTTTAGAGTCTCCAAAAAGATTTTGTAGTAATAAAAGTTGAACAGAAAAGACTCTTATATAAGCACTAAAACTACGGCATTAATCTACTAAATTCTCAATATAAGCATTACACTACTGAGGCCTTAGCATAGGCATTAAAGTATCAAATCATCACTGTAAACACTACATTACTAAGGCTTTACTGAAGGTACCATGGTGTTGAAGATTTAATACAGGCCCTACTTCTATACTGAGCTTCTATACAGGCCCTACTTCTATACTGAGCTTCTATACAGGCCCTACTTCTATACTGAGCTTCTATATATAGGCATTAATCTTACTGCATGTAGACTTTATTACAGGCCCTACACTATAATAAAGTCATTTCACTATACACATTGAGTTCTTACATAACTTTTAGCGTGTAAGGCCTTATTAAGCAAGAAAATTTTGCTAAAAATGAAAGAAGAGGCCCCAAATTTCTATAATTTAATATAAAGTTAGTGTAGGGCCTTACAGATTTATTAATTAAATTAAATTGCTGCGTGTCATTTCGATGTTTTCCCTCCTGTAGGCTCGAAGGTGGCGTAGAGAAAAAATTAAAAAAAAAAAAATCAAATTAAATCGAGTCGTTACGTAATATTTAAATTAAGTAAACGAAAGCGAAAGTGTTTACGCTTTAGCTTCAAATTCTATTGGTCGATTTTTAAAAAAAACGAAATTGAAACATTTCGCGATCGGCCAATAGGAAGCGAATTTTCTAATTATCGTATCTCCTGGCTCCGCCTGGCGATTGGTCGAAGATGCTTTCGGAGGCGGGGACAACGTGACGTCGGGGGTGACAGCGATTGGGTGAGGAGTGTCGCCAGTTACAGTGGCGCCCTCGATACTGCGGCATTAACACAAGGTTACTCAGACGATTTTTGTGTAAAAATTTTGACATCAAAATCGGGAAGTGACGTAAGTTTTTTTTCCCCTTTGACGTAATTTGAATTTGAATTTAAAAAAAAAAAATATTTTATTAATATATTTTCCCCGCATTTTAGGGATCGTTTCAAGTAATATCACGTTCCAGAATGGGGTGAGTTGTTTATTACATGATTTTTGCCTTTCTAGATCGATTTAAGGCGTTAAATATGTAAATTTAAGTAATTTTAAGGGTTTAAATTCGTAATTTTATGCAAAAATTCCTAAATTTAAAGCTGAATTAGCTGAATTATTCATTATAACCGTGTTACGTTCAAGATAGTCTGAGCCTTATAATTATGCCTTAAAGGCGATTAGACTTTATTTTAACGTTTGCATGCCTTCTCGAGAAACTTAGCCTTGTAAATTTAGGCATTTGTTGCCTTTAGAAGCCTATTGACGCGCTTAAATCTGGCTTAGATTATAAGCCTCACTTTACTGTTAGCCTTATTTTAAATATTTTAATATTTAGGATTAAAGCCTGTTTTAAATATAAATTTTATTACAAATCTATGCCATATTGCTCATCTTTTTCATTATTTTATTATGATCCAACCGACTTTTTCTTCTTTTTTCGACCCATTTTCTTTTTGATCTTGCATTCCTTTTATGATTCAAGGATATCTTCTTCATTATTTTCTTCAATTGGAGGCCCTTTTTTCTATATTTTGTAATATTTTTCAGGTGATTTTTCGTATGGAAATCTTAAATTTTTTTTAATTAAAAATTTAATATTTAACCTTAAATTTTTCTAGATATTTTTCTCCATTTTATTCCTGTTTCTTAATGGATTAATCCNCTTTTGCATTGGAATATGCTTGTTTAGCAGTGATAAATTTTTTTTTCTTCTGAATTTCTGCCCCATATATTGAGTATTAATGTTTTGTTCTTCATATACAGTTGACCCCCCCCTATAACACTGTTGATTATTCCATTTTATATGAACTCCATGTTGTACGAATCACTTAGATTTTACAAATACGTGAGCCGTTCACAGCCCGGCACACGTATTTGTAAAATCTAAGTGACTCGTACAACATGGAATTCATATAAAACGAAAAAATCAACAGTGTTATAGGGGAGTCGACTGGTATTTTCTGTGAATTTTTTTCTTTATTTTCTCCATTTTATCAACATGTTCCTCTATTTTCTCAATTTTTCTAGAGTATTTTCTTGAATTTTATTCATATTTTTAGTATTATTTACTGTAATTTTCTCCATTTTTTTTGTGTATATAATTCCTCACCTTTTTAACACACTTGACTGGATAAATGGAGGAAAGTAAAGTGTTATAAAACACTTTACTTTTTTCCATTTACCTCCATATTTTAAGGTTTATTTTTATAATTTTCATCCGTATTTTAAGGTTAATTTTCATAATTTTCGCAAGATAATGAAGAAAACTCTAGCAGAAATTTCTAATTTATCTCCAATTTCTATTGAATCATCAATAGCTGCCATGCTACAAATTCTGCATATAAACATATGAATTTTGCTTTTTATTTTTCTTTCACTTTTACGAATTGTTTTCCATATTTTTCAGCATTTTCCTACTGATAATTTCCACAAGAAAAAACAGAAAAATATTTTTAATATTCAACAGAAACTCCTGTTACTTCCTTTCAAATTTCAATTCATTCGCTACATTGCCTAGAGGGTTTATCATTATCTTTCACATATTCAGCCTTATTTTTCGCTAATTTTAAATAAATTTAGCTAATTTTTATTATATAAATGTCTATTTTAATTGTATATTTTGTAACTTTTATTTAAAACTAATTAATAAGTTCGAAAAAAAAAGAAAACATCAAGAAGTTCAGTTGAATCCTTCACTACTTGGAAGTAAATAACCTAATTAGATTAAGGCATTCTTTAATCAGATCCTTAAACTAATTTATTAGGCTAGATAGGCATCAATTCATAATAAATTAAGGTCGATATTTTATGTAGAGTTAATGCAAATCCAAGTTATAGCCTTAGGCCTGCATTGAGATGTCAAGCAAGAATTTTCTAGGATATTTTCAAATGTAGGCTTATGCATGCCTTAACAATTTAATAAAAAGGCTTATGTAAGGTAATTAAGGCTTTTATATACATAATATTATAATAATTTAGCTTATATGTTTGTATATACTGTTGTTAATATTACAGTCGACCCCCTATAACACTGTTGATTTTTCCATTTTATATGAATTCCATGTTGTACGAGTCACTTAGATTTTACAAATAAGTGTGCCTGGCTGTGAACGGCTGACGTATTTGTAAAATCTAAGTGATTCGTACAACACGGAATTCATATAAAATGGAAAAATCAACAGTGTTATGGGGGGTCGACTGTATATTAAAATAAAACCTTGGCTCATTTCTATTTCACTTTGTTTGCCTTTTACACTTTATTTTAAGGCTTTATTAAGTTTTATTTAGTATCAAACTATTATCAGAGCCTTCTATTTGCCCATTAGTAGACTAATCGTGGGTATAACTAGTTTCCAATTATGCAACTAAGTTTTAAATAGATAGCCTTTTCAGGCTAGAATTTAAAACTTAGGCTACTTTTACCGTAACAAATTTACTTTCTGTGTAATTAATTTAAGCCTTATTTGAGCCTAGATTCGACTTATTTATGTGTTCTACAGTTAGATTTCTGCACTGAACTGAACTTCTTCACAGTTTCTGAAATGATAGCCTACGTTTAAGGCTACAATTTTCAAAGGCTTACTTCCATTTAAGCAATTTTTTAAAATAAACATAAGGCTAATTTTTTAATTAAAATCAGTAATTTTGTTTGAATTTATAATATATATTACCAGAAACATTCGTGTCCATAAACGATAGAGTCTTAAATTGATAAGATTTTAGTGTTATATTTAACAAATAAGAATAGATTTTTAATATAATTCAGGCTATTTTAAGGATATTTAGCCTTATAATTGTAGATATAAGCAAGACAATTAAGAAATAATGTAAACACCGTGTTAGATTTTAGCTTGGTTTTAGGCATGGCGTGTCATAGGAATTCGACATTTGGATCATTTAAAATGCTTGTTAACAAGGCTGTAGCCTTATTTTTATAATAAAATATTGATATTTAATTTAAAAATTACGTAAAATTATAAAAAATTCAACGTTAATTATATAAAACTGTATAATTTATTGTTAAAATGAATTAAAGAAGACAGACGTTTTAAGGCTTTATTTAATCGTAAATTTAATTTTATTAAAAAAATAATTTGTTTTAATGGCCTTATATTAAAGGCTACAAACACGAAATGACTTAATATATAATCATAATATAAAGATTTGGCATGTAACAATAATTCGATCGCATCTACATAAATTTTTAACATCAAGTAACAAGCATAAAGTATTGTAACAGCTTTAAAAATACGAAATTTCATTGTAAATTACTTTAAAATTACTGTTAATTAAAGTTTACAATGCTTTCAAGGCAGTGTTATGTGCCTTAGTTAGCCTGAGACTGTATAAATTAACTTCATATATTAAAGGCTTACTATTTGGACTACTGGATAAATTTATCACTAATTAAAATGAAAGTTTTGTAGTTTTAAAGTAGGCTCACAAGGTTTAACGTACGTCTTCAACAACAGATTTAATTAGCCTTTTAACTGACACATATTGTCTGTTTTATAAGCTCATATGGCTTTAAATTTAACTTAATTTGAGCTTTTATAAGAATATGTTCTCATAAGTGAGTTTTTTAAGGCTTAGACGAACCTAAATTTGGTATAATAATTGAGCCTTCAGTTAAAATTCAACTAAATTCAGGCCTCTTAACAAGCTTTACAGAAATAAATCACTAACAAGAGGCTCTAACTTGTTTAACAAGGATTTTCGTGTATTATAAGCGTAAACTGAGCCTGATTTTATATTAAGCTTCTGCCTAAAACTTAAATAGATAAAGGCTCAATATATAAGCTTATAAATTAACATAAATGTAACCTAGTTTTTAATTTAATTTCGATCTAGGCCACTTGTATTACTGCTTTTCTACAGTTAAATAAATACATCGTAGAATTTTTCTTTAATTGTCAGCATTATTAAGCTGTAAAGTCATGTTAATTATTAATTTAATACACTTAAAAGACCTTAACTAGTCTATAGAATTCAATGTATGTAGGTTATAGTAGATTAAGAATAGCGTAAGGGGGTATGTTGTAAGTCAGAATGCTTTACAGTTTAACCTAAATTTTGGGATATCTTGTCCTATTTTATTTATCTACTTTTATCTAACGGCTTATCTACTTCATAAACTAAAACGGTGCAACAATTCTGCTGAATGAAAGGAAATTCTTAGTCCTTGTCGCGGGTATTGTCCTAAATAAGTCCATATTCTTCCTAGTTTTTATAATCTACAAGCATTACCTAATCTAACCTACAGTCGCTATTCACTTTTAGTCGATTTTCTTAGTTCCTTAACTTTCAAGTAGTCATTTTTAGTCGTTTTTACAGTCCTTAAATCTCCTAATCTGTACCTTAATCGTCAGGAATCCTTTCTACAGAAAATTAATCATTCCTAATTGATTTTCTTAGTCTAGACATATTCTTAATACCATAAACTTTCCTAATCCTATTCGTAGTCCTTTCTATAGTCATTAGTTTTCTTAGTCTTTTGCTTAATCCATAGTCATTCCTAAACCTTTGTACAGTCACTAATCATTTCCTTTTCTTTACTAGTCATTTCTTTAGTCCTTTTTATTCATTCCTAGTCCTTTTCTCAGTCTTATATCTAGCTTGAGTGCCATAGTCCTTTACTAGTTTACAAATGTATGGATTTCGAGGACGTTCATTAACATCAAGAGATTAGTAGAAATTACTATGGGATAATGGTAAGGAATAGGAAAGCTTATGGATTATGAATAGGATTAGAGAATATAATAATGACTCAAGGCTATGGGGGAGGCTAGGAATGATTAGGGAATAAGTGAAGGCTATGGGAAGGCTAGGAATGATTAGGGAATGAGTAAAGGCTATGGGGAAAGCTAGGAATGATTAGGGAATGAGTAAAGGCTATGGGGAAGGCTAGGAATGATTAGGGAATAAGTAAAGGCTATGGGAAGACTAGGAAAGATTAAAAACTATAGAGAAGATTAATAT